CACTATTGCAGGAGGATAAGCAATGGTTTTTAAAACATGTTTTTCACTGATCTATGGCTTGGGAAATGTCTGACTACAGGTTGCATGATGTTGGGACTATATTCAGGGGATGTATCACTACTTACTCGCTTTCCGTTTATGTATATTCTTCCTCAAGTATCCACTTTTAGTTAACTGCTAAGAACACAATACTAGGCTAGATGGATCTTTAGTTTTACCTAAGATGTCTGCTCCTATGCTTATAATAGTAAGTTGGCAAAATTATAAGAATTGTAATAGCTTTCTAATGGATTCAGTTTAAAAGCTTTACTAGCGGGGCCAACTGTTGTGAAGTTTCTGGGACACTATGAAAGCTTGTAGCAGAACATAATACTGTAAATCTTTATGCTGCAAGCCAATGGCTGTCGCTTGATCTGCGTATACTTATCTTGAAATTCTCTGTTGGTTCTCGTCAGAATTTAACTATTTTAATGTCAAAAAGTAAGAGTCTGTAGATTTACTGAAACTTGCTGGGTGTTGAAGCCATGTTCTAAACTGTGTCACCACTAGTTAGACTCTAGGGCAATTCTTTGTGCAAAAAGTAATGGAACCATTTTCTTTGGTAAAAATGTCACATTTGTAACTACTGACCTGTAATGGTTGACCAGCAAGATAAGCTTTACAACACAATAGAAGCATCTACTTTTAAAAACAAACAAACAAAAAAACCCCAAGCCAAAATCCTTGCAGTTTCTAGGCTTGATGCATTCTTTGATAAGACTTAAGAAAACTCAAAAGTATTTAAAGGGTCTTATTGAAATACTTTATGATACCTACTGGTGAAGTCCCATGTTCTTTGCAGAATAACAGCTTCTAAAATAGCAGAGTAATGTTTTTTGTTCAATTCCATAGGTTATTCCAAAGTTTATATCTTTGTTGCAACAGAACAGAAAATGGTATGTAATTTGCTTTTTTGTTTGTGGTTTTTGTGCTATAAACCTGTAATTACAGTTATAAGTGGCATAGTTTGTGAAATTATAATTTCATAACTAAGTTATGAGTTGCTTATTTTAGCAGTAGGATTTCCTTAAACTAAGGGATTGTTTGCATGTCAGCTACTTAAGATACTTCCAGGTAATGGCAAACTGCTTAAAACACAGTCTAACAAACCAAATCCTTCTATTTAAGGATAACAAAATTGTCTTGCTTTTTCCTGGTTTTAAGCTGTATTCATGGGTCTGGACTTCAAAGAAGGAATTTTCTTTATGCAACTGATGTGGTAGAAGCATTCCTTATTGTCCTGAAGGAGGGGAAGCCAGGTGAAATTTATAACATTGGAACTAACTTTGAGATGTCCATTGCCCAGCTTGCAAAGGAGTTAATCCATTTAGTGAGTAAACAGTTATGATGCTTTTCTTTACCAGTCATTGCTTATATGAACAATTCTACCTTAAACCTTTTGTAGCTCTGAGAGAGCTTAGGCTTGTGCTGGGTCCTAGAAGATAGCTGTAGCAGAACTATGTAAGTTTGCAGTACAGGCTATTGTGCGTTGCACTGCTGCATCAGTTAGCCTGACAGGGACACCACTGGCATAATGATTAAATGCCATTTGGTAGTTTTGTGGGTTTTTTTGGGTTTTTTTGTTTTTTTTTTCATGCTGGCTGCTTCAGTTTTGGTCTGGGAATGGGGCACTATTAAAATCTACCAATTTGATTATGAATGGTTAGGCAGTGCTCAGGTGAAGGAGAAGTATTGGAATTGTTCTAGATAGTTTTGATAATTTCAATAGTTTGAAAACTCTTTTTAGACAAAAGAGAATTTCTGGGTTGTGTTTTTTATTGTTTGTGGGGTTTTTTTTTGTTTGTTTTAACAGACTTAGATCTTGTTAAATCTACTTTTAAATGTATATTAAGACAGTGCAAGATGTGTGGGGGTGATTTTTGGTTTTCCTCTTGACAGATAAAGGAGACCAGTTCGGAATCTGAAATAGAGCGCTGGATGGATTATGTCAAAGACAGGTAAGAAAATAGCGAAGCACACACAGGATAGCCTTATTCTAGTGGTTGCTGGGTCTCTTGCCAAATAGTTTTTTGTGAAAGTGTTTCTGCTGTCTAGGAGGGAAAACTTCTGAGGGAGTAAGAGCTGTTTTGCGTTCTTAATTTTTTTTTTTCTGGTGGATTTGACACCTATGATCCATATCGAACACTATAGAAAAACAGGATTTTCACTTACTATTTTGATCAGAGTCAGAGTGTATGTCTTGAAGGGGAATGTATAATGCTGACCTATCTATTTCCAAACTTTCTTTAGCCTTCTCACTACTGAAGTCTGCTCTGGGAAAAGGACAGGTTTTACACAGTAGCTAAACCCTTTCTTAAGGGTAGTTTAGATAGTTTATTCAGCATCACTTGAAAGATGAATCCCATTGTCTCTCATTTAGCTTTAGTATTTTGGTGTTAATGTGACTAGTTCAGACTTAGATGTGCTTTATAGGTAAGACCCACTCTCCACAGGCAGAAATATGCACCTGCGGAGTGTAGTTAATTTTAGATTCAAATCTTAAACTGAAACTGCTATCTCAAAAGTAGATGTAAAACTCTGAGGTGCCAAAGTTAGAGCAGCAGCAAAAATGGATAGCTTTTATAAACAGGCTTTTGCTGTTTGTTTCTGTCCTTAATTTTAGGTTTGGTTTGGCTCTGTTCTTTTATCTCCATTTTTTTTCTGCAGCAGCAATGAGTCTCTGCTTACTTTAGATATCACTCTTTCTCCAGAGTGATTAGAAATGATGTATCTGCTGACAGCAGTTAAGTAGTATTATGGCCTTTAGAATTCTCACTCTCTGTTCACATTTGGATTGTTATCATGTCGACTGAAGTGTCTTTAAATGTACTAATTTTTGTTTTTAAAAGGTAGTGTTCTTCAGAATCCTATCTGATTGTATCGCAGGACTTTGAACAAATTGCCTTTGGCTCACATGATGTGAGTGTTCAGTAGGGCTTGTAACTCAGATTGAGATGTTTCTTCATGTGTATTGGGCCCTGTCCACTAATGTTGAAACATAAATGGGCTTGGGAAAACTAACCACTTAGGAATATGTATTTTGAAGAATGTTGAGGCCTTATAAAAGATTCTTAAGATACCTAACTAACGATTATTTAATTCCATAATGAGAGGCTTTTAAAGGTCATGGGGGTTACTTGCCATGGAAAAATTAATTCTGCTTCTGCTTGAGATTTAGCATGTTTTAATAACGGTGATAAGTAGCTGGCTTCTGTCCGCATGTATATCTTAACTATTCGGTATGCTAGTGCCAGTAATGCAGGAATGCTAGACTAGACTACCTAACTGCCAGATGGTGGAATTGAAAATTTGTGCCATGCTTAAATGTAGGGAATCTCTTTCTGTTTTGAAACTTGCAGCCTGGGATTTTACATATTCAGTATTACTAAGTTTGTGTCGCTAATGAAGCACTGTAATGACAATACTTGGAAGTCCATATATTTCAGATCTGAGGTATGTAAAAATTTGTGGGCTTTCAGGATGAAAAACGTGAATGCTGATATTGGAAAACACTGGTTTGCATAGTGCCTGTGTAAAGAGTTGCAAATGCACAATTGCATTGGCAGCGATTTGAGTTTTGCATTCATTTTTGTGCCAATAAGTTATTAATTCATATTTATTCTAGTCAACTCCAAGTAGTTGACTGTACAAACTGAATTGTATTGTTGCAGTTGCACTCAACTGCCATGTATTTTTAAAGGCAGTATAATCTGTTCATGCTGATAGGGATTTTCAAAATTGAAACATACCTACTGTTGGTTTGAAGACAATGTGAGGTACTGCATCTCTAATCAATGAAAAAGTCTAAACAAATTGTTTCCATGTGCATTTTATACTTCATCAGACCTACCAATGACCTGAGATACCCAATGAATTCAGAAAAAATGCACAACTTAGGATGGAAACCTAAAGTGCCTTGGAAAGAAGGAATAAAGAAAACAAGTAGGACTGATGCCTTTTACACTAACTAATTTAGAAGTGATGGGAGGAGGGAAGGGGGGGGAAATGGGTATATAGGTTGGTTAATGAGAAGCTAAAGAGAATGAATTTAACACTTTAATTTTACGTAAAATTGGCTGCTTTTTAAGTAGTGCATTTACCTTATTAAAAAAAGTTAATCACAATAAAATAGCGTCAGGTACTAGATTTAATTACTTTTTAATGCTAGAATAAGTCTTGCATAAAGAATTTATAAAATCTAGTTTAGATTTTTTTTAAATATAGGTTAAAATTTTGCATAATGAACTGCTAGTATCTTGTTAGTCTTATGATAGCTGTGGAATATTTAAATTTCCCTGTTATCTCTGGTCAAGTTGTCTCATCAACATTCTCTTCATACTAGTCGAATGGTACAAAGAAAACTTTCACAACTGGAAGAATTCGGAGAAAGCTTTGGAGCCCTTTCCTGTGAGAGAGCCATTTGCACATCTCAGTGGCCCATAGAGTGGTGGAGCATCTGAAGGATTTTATTCTACCTCATACAGTCTTTTCTTCAATCAAGTGGCCACACTGAACTCTTACTGTATTCAAGATACATGAACCATGATGAATACAGAACTACAGTATGGCACAGCTTTGGAAGGGTTTCAGCACTTTATATATATAAAGTTGAACCTGTTAATGTCAGCTTTTGGTGCAATACTATATTCTCACTAGGTATTGATTTTAAAGAACTGTACGGGGTGAGGAATATTTATAATGCTATAAATTAGTGTAACTGAAGTCAAATCTGCCTTATTAATTAAGAATAAATAATTGCAATTACAGCGTTTGGGACTTGCGGTGAAATCTCTTTTAGTTCTGGAATCGTTTATCTGTGTTAGTTTGTTTTTACAGTGTAATATGTTATTTTTGTCACTTTAAAGAGTTGGTTTTATTTTTAACCTAGGGGAAAAATGCTATATTTTCTTAAGAGTATGAATCAGTTGATAAAAGCTAGATACGACACCCATGTGGTTCAGTCTTTTCCTCTGCTGGTGTAGTATCACCTTCTGCAGATGACTGATTGAACTGTTACCTATTCTATAACTTTAAATGCCTTTTTTTAAGGGGGGAAGGTGTCGAAAAGTAGCAGGTGTTCTTGCTGAGATCTCCAGAAGCATTTTCTTACACTTCGCTCTATTTTAGATGTCATCTTTTTACTGTATTACTGTCTCTTACATTTCCTTAACTGTAATTGTAACAAACTTGAAATACTGTAACACAATTAATATTCCAGTGATGTTCTTTCCCATGATACGAAGGCTGTTTATGGAGAAAAATTTTAAACACTTGTGAATTGTGGGCTGTCAGACCTTATTCAATGCAGTGTTTCACTTTTTTTTGGTGACAAACATCTTAAAGATGAAACATTGTTTGAGTTTTAATGTGAAGTTTGGGAGGAAACTTCAATTCTAGAAATATGTCAATCTTTTTCAAAGTTGATTTAGTAATAAAAGTTACAGTGTGACTTGTTTCTCTTGATTAAGTAAACACGCTGAAAAGGTAGATAGTGGGGTTGTTTTTATATTTCTTAGTTTTTCCTGTATCCTGAAAAAATTATCTTCGCTTTTTTAGTTTTGAGATGGCAAGACATAGAAGGGAGAACTCTTCCTGGCTTTATCGCTTCAGCTTCTTTACTTGGCGCAGTCCCAGACCCTGCTGTTGCCCCTGGGTGGAGCTGCAGAAGCTTGGGACGCTATGGTGTGCTCAGAAATTGCTGTGACTTCTGAAGTCTCTCAGAAGTTGGGAGTTAACTCTCAAAATGCAAGTATGTGCAGAAGTCCTTTCCTTGCATTTCCCCCTAAGTGCAGGAAGAACAGACCATGGGGCATCTGCCTTAGCTTTGCCCCTGCTAGAGTTTCGGTAGTAACTGAACACAAAATTTAATGGTGCTGACCCAGATAGCCTACAGGTAGTGCTGCGGTTGGAGCCACAATGCTCCCAGCTTCATCACGCCTCCTGTGTGTTGTACGGTGCGGTTGGTAAAATGACACTTTTGGCTTGCAAGAGTCATCCTGAAAGAAGGCTAAACAGTAAGCAGCTGGGCTTACCTTAGCACCAGGTGTGTGTTCCAAAGTCTAGGAATGTGTTACTGAAGGTGAGTTTTCTGTGACTTGTGTGATGATAATACTATGAGAGAATTGTGCTGCATTTACATTTTTTGGGTTTTTTTGATACTTGATTTGGTAGCCAAAACCTCCATTTAGGAAGGATAGAAGTTATGGGACTTAGTATGTACTAGTCTATTAGAATACTTGGCTTACCAGGGACTTAAACTTCTACTGATGAACCACTTAAATTTCATTATCAAACACACATTGCTGGTAACATTCAAGTATTTTCTTAATTTTTATATTTTCTTGAGATACAGCTTCCTTACTGTTTTGCATTTTACAAAAGTCAATACCAGAAATAGCTGAAGTACTGCAAAGATCTGTTTTAGCTGTATTTAAGCTTACTGTGGCAGCTGCTCTGGGTGAGTTGCATGAAGGTATGCATCTTTCACATCTGCTTGTACTGGAATACTGGTTATGTGATGTGCCTTTAACTTTAGGAATAGGGATTATAGATTATTAAATTATTATTTTTAACTTTACACCTAGGTACAGTGTCTTTGGAACATCAAAAATCCATTACCTTGTTATAGTCTTACCAGATCAGAAATACACAGAAGGAAGCAGTCATGTGCGATTGGCTTATTGAATGGATCTTTTGAAAGTTGTTTTGAATGTTTAGATGCTGAAGATGCAAGCTTTGACATTCATGTGGCTGTCCAAACAAGTGATATTACTGGGAGTGGATTGTTGAAAAGGTTCTATTAATTTTTAGTGGGAGCTGTTCTAGTTTATTTCAATGTTTTTGAAGATTTAATCCTTCCAAGTGTTTGAGATTTTTGGCTCAGTGTTCTTTTATTTTTATGTATGTGTATATGTAAATAAATATATAGATACACATTTAAAAAATATGTATTAAAAAAATTAATCTAGGAGGGTTTTGCTTTGGGCTGCTTTGCTGTAGGTCAGGTTGCCTTAGGTGAGTGCTCTGGTGGGAGCATTCCTTTCACAGGGAAAAGTCTTGCTGCTGTTAAAGAAAACAGCTTATGTTGCATTAACCTTCTGGCTTCTGTAGGAAGAAAAGGACAAAGGATTAACTAGTGACCTGTTAGTGTGGAGAAGTGTAATGCTTTTAGTTTTTATTTCTCACTGTTTTTACTTGGAGGATATGAAGAAGCATTTGTGCAGAAGGCAAAACTACTGATGTAAAATCCTCTGAACACACCAATCTTTAAGCGATCTTTCCACTTCTCTGAAGGTTTGTGTCTCAGAAATTGAGGTTATGCCAATAAGAAAACAGAGTAAATGCGTACATCACTTAAATCGCTAAAGCTTTCTAAAGGGGAAGGGCTGGCCTTTGGTGAAGGGTTTCTATCCAGATGAGAGGCTCACACTCGGGGAAATTATTTGGGGATAGCTGTCAGTTCTACATCTCTTTTTGGGGTTACAGTTGTGGGTTTGATAGATCTTCAGGAAGCAGCTGCTGAAATCCCTTGTGCATTGGGGAAAAGGGTGAGGGGATCGAGTGCTCCCTCAGTAAG